TGATTCAGATTATTCTTGCCACTCAAGTAAAGCTGTGAATATAAATTACACAATATAATATAAACAATGAGCCATCAAATAGACTTACCGTTTTTACATAACTCTCAGGCGTTTTAAAATTATCATTTGCTTATAGTATTGAGCTTTTTCAAACAAAAATAACAGACTTTTATAAGTTTCCTGTGCTTGAATAATTTAACTATATATTTCCTTCGTGCTTTCAAATTTAAATCTACACTGCCTACATAGCTAATAATTTATTTCGTATACTACATGCATGTCAAGAATTATATACTAACAACTGAACATGTTTATTCAGGCATATCATACCCCAAAAGCATGTAGCAATCAAGAACTCAACAAATCACATTATCTTTCAATACCAAACTTAGTCGTTGAGGCCTTACACAATATATGTAGTATGACATCTTCAGGGAAATATAATAAAATAGAAGTGCACAGTGACAGGAGAAAATCTATTATCCAGGATTTCATTTATGACAGAGGAAGCACCAGTCTCAACTCTACAACTCAAAGGAGCGCAAATTATGAGTCAAAGGAAAGAAGTAACACAAAGTTATAGCATATAAATAAGAAAGTCACAAGAAACAAGAAGAACTAAGAAAACCGTACCAAGTTTAATATACCATGCTTTGTAGAATTATCACCTTTCAAGTATGTCATACTTAACATAGGCTCTTCTAAAATAACCAAATAAGAAAGAGTTTGATGCGAATTTAATACCGTTCATGCAACAATTCAGAGTAAAAACATCACGGAACGCGTTAGGAAACTTAATCTTATATGTAACGGTCCTATGTCAGCTAGAGGAAGTAGAACTGTGTAAAAAACACAACAACAGATGTTTCAATTTATCAATAGATAAATATCAGTATCAACGAGCGAAAGGGAGTGAAAAGTAGATAATGCATTGGGGCATCTTAATTGATTTTACAGGGAAAGTAAAATTCAAGTCAATAATCATAAATAAATGCTTTGTTTATGTTCTTTTCTAATGAATGAAGAAGAAAGATGTAAGGCTTATCGTTAACCTACGCTATATAAAAAAACTTAACAAAATGCAGTAGAATCACAATTAAGCTTCATAGACGATACAGCGTCATACATATTATAACAGAATAACCCGTTTGTGTTATCAACATATTTACGCTAATGAATTCTTGGACAGCAGGGCATGTCAGCAGGTATCATTCTGCTAAGTTCGTACATTTATGTCATGCAAGAGCATATGTAGATCTTCTATCTAGTTGAAAATAAAGCGTAGTCAATATTTGTCCAGAAAGTTAAAGTCTAATATGCAAATTAGAAAGTGAAGAATCAAAAGATGAAACAGTTTCTCTTACACTTTTCTTCGCCAATGCTTCTATTCTACCTTTGCAGGATTCCGTTGTTTGATAGTCCACAAATGTGAAGGTATGATGGCCTTCTGTGAAGGTAATTCTGCTATGAACAATAGAGTCTGCGCCCACCCAGCATATTTACCGTACTTGGTAACAAATGCCTCTGCAACACGATTACAGAGCTTTGGTGTCAAAACTGTCGAAGCTGAAGCTCAGGTAAGATATACTTGGTGGCTTCATCTTATCCCATGTAAAAGAGACTCAAGTATCCGGGCAATAAACTCAAAAACTCTCTATGCTACAATAAATCTTGAATGCAACATTCTATAACAGATGCAATAGTCAATCATTACCGATAAATAACAACTTATTGTAAACTTACCCGCCATAACTTAGTGTCAACAGGACGGCATGGTGTTGATGCAACGAGAATGGGGGGGGGGGGGGGGGGAGAGCAACTTCAAGCAGCCACTTTATGGGCCCACACGCAGTTTAACAAGTAGAAAGTGTGCAGATCTAACATCTGAAGATCCAACTTAGGGCAGGCATAGAACGAAGCCACTCTTCCCCTCGCACCAGTTTTGATCGGGCAAAGGTGGCATTAACCCGTTCCAATTATATATTTACATCTGGGTTAGCTCTGGCACACGCCAATAACATCACCAACATATTTGGGCATTGCAATTGAATGCATGCATAAGAGTAGTTAGGGTTAGTAACTGATGAACCTGTAACCGAAACCCGCGTCTCTGAGTTGTTGCTCTGAGACGGAGGAAAGTTGCTCCAAAGAAGGGAAAACGTGAAACTGAAACCCTCCAACGTCTCCCACGTGCACTCCAAGGGACGACACGTGGTCAACCATCTTCGTGATTCGTGCAATGTTGTTATTGGAAGAGCACAGAAACTGAATCAAACACTCGAAAGGGTCTTGCCGGAGCACCCTCGCACCGCTCAAGTGGCGCGCTAGCGCCGCGAACCTCGCATCGGAAGCGGAAAAAACGCCTTCCATAAGCCGGCGAGAGAAACGGCGGCATTAAAATCTAGCAAGGCGGTTTCGGCTTTTTCGGGGTGAGAGTGGGAGTGGAGGCAGTAGCAAACGTCGCCGTTTTGGAGGTGTTTGAGGGTTACGAGGTGGGGCCCAACGACGCCGGTGTATTCTAGAGGGGCAGTGTTTTTCCAGCGGAATGGTTTGGCGCTCGTGGGAAAGGTGAGTGGCAGAGAGAGTTGTTCGGCTTCGGTTCGGCCTGTGTTCAAGTTGAGAGTTGGGTCCCATTTTTTCGGCAGAATTTGCTTTTGAAATTTTTGTTTTTGTAACTTTCCCTTTCTTTATTTTTTCTTTTTTTCCCTCCATGACGGGGCCTGGGTTTGGGGAGTTGGGGCGTTGAGGGAGTGGGTGGGATCAAGTTTCGGGGATCTTTTTCTCTTCTTCGTCCTTCGTGTCATAGCGCTGCAAGATAGACGTTGATGGTTCTCAGATTGGCAACGCATGGGCATCTCCGTCCCTATCTCTGTTCGATGGACAACGTAACGGGAAAATAATGACGCCGGCGTCGGGTGGGTCGGGTGATGCTGAGTAGTTGCTCGTGACTCTTGACTCTTGAAGTTTAATTAAAGAAAGTTTAAAAATCAACTTAAATTAGTTAGTTAACGGATATAAATATTAACCAGGTCTAAATATCATTTTCTTTTTCTACATATCATTTTTGCTTTTAGCTTTTGTTCAAGAAATTCCATAATTAAACGAATGCGTTTTCAAGAATCATATTTTTAGAAATATTATTTTCAAATAATTAGTAAAACTTATTGCAAACAAATATATTGATTTAACAAAACTTATTTGACATTATTAATTTAAGGTAATTAAATTATATTAACATATATATTTGTTTGTTTTGTTACAGTATATTAACATCAAATTTGGATGGTTTGAATATATGATATATTTTATTATATTATAACTATCATTTATACTATATATCAATAAATAATCTAGTTAAATGATGAAGACTTTCACTCTAGTTAAATCATGCAATTGTGTTCTTTTAATGATGAAGACTTCCACCCTTTCAGGCCAAACATAACCGAAGTTGGCATCTCGAAAGGGATTATTATCAACATTTGCAGGTATGACGACACGATTGATCCGACGATCCATCTGAAGACTTACTTGACCCAAGTCCCTATCCACACCAAGGACAATAAGGTATATTGTTGGTTTTTCCGTGCTACGCTAAATGGTCGAACTGTATTATGCGTTGCCTCCCAACTTGATAAACTATTTTATTACCTTTAACACCATATTCAAAGCGTAATTCGTCGATGTAAGGTGGTACCAACCACCTTGACGTCCTTGAAGTATGTAGAGTAAGAAAAAAGTGAGACCTTTAAACTCTTCATGGAGAGGTTCATTATCATCGTTATTAGCATCCCAAACCTTACTCCATCAAGGATCATGCATTTCTTTATATGCGGTCTCCAACCCGGACCTTTTTCTGATTCACTCTTCAAGAAAAAACCAATCAACCCGGATGACCTTAAAGAGTGGACAACAAAACATATCACCATTAAGGAGAATAAGTTGAAAAGGATCCACACACCAAAACTTGGCAAGGTTAATAAGGGCAACATATCAAGCGGGCCACTACTCAGTATAACCAACACACTTCTTTGAATGTTAGTAGGGATATCATATCCAAGAGGCGTGTAACTTGGAACTCATTCGACTTCCAAAGCCTCGACCACCACACCCCTTTGTGGATCCACTGAAATAATGCTTTTATTATCAAAGTATCAATCACATTACAGAAGAGTACTGGTACTTGAAGGGTCTCATTGGAGAACTAATTTGCTTCATATGATGAGTCACTTTGTACAACAAGGCATTGGAGGTCGAAGTCAAGGACAAAGTCATCGAGGTCGTGGTAGATATCAACTTGGAAGTTTTACAATTGGGTACAAGCAGAACAACCAAACATGGTGCTTCAAATCCCTTATACTGATCCACAACCTCAAAAGCTCGATCAACCTCATAAACTCATTCAATCTCAACTATTTGTTCAATCGCAACAAACCTTGCTTAGGTTCGAGGAAGCGCCAACACCCTTAAGGAAGAGGTGACCCACGTGAATAAGGTTGTCAAGGATCTATAAGCTAAGAAGTTCCATGGAGCTTGTCGCTTATGTCGAAGGTTTTGAAAAGGCTAAGAGACAAGCGACATTTTTCACACCTCGCTTGGACATGAAACACTTTGATACAAATAAGGATGTGGTTGACAAAGTCCTCGTAGATGAAATCTAAGGCAAAAAATTGTGCTTTTATGTGTGTGTTATGAACTTACAATGGTTTTTTACTTTGAATTAATATACTATCAATTTCGAATATATACATTATACTTATGTATGACTTATGTATATATGACTTATGTATATATGACTTATGTATATATTGTACATGAGAAATCATTTAATTAGTCAAACAAACTTAAATTATTTTCTTAAGTAAACTTTTTACTTGTATTATCCATGAAAAATGACTAAATTTAATAATATATTTAGAAACAAAATGAAAAATAAAGAAAAAAATGCTATATAATAGTGTTATCAATAATATCCATTAAAAATATTTCCAATTTCAATAATTTATAGTTTTAGAAAAATAAAAATGACAATAATATGAAGAAAAGTATGTATTATATAATTATTTTGCTTTAAATGTATAATTAAAATTTAATTCTAAAATTTAAAATGTGGAAAAAAATATAAAACTTAATTATTATTTTAAAAAAAAGAAAAATAATACCATATAATAAGCATCCCACAATAATCTTAATTTCTCAAATCTTTAATTTGAGACATTCAAGGAAAGTTTGTGAAAACAAAATGTGTTAATGTTTCTTAACCTATTGGCATTTGACATATTACAATTTTTTTTATCAAGTTTACAAATATAGCAATAAAATTGGTTTTTTAAATAACTTTAAATTATTGTCATATTTTTTAAATCAAATCTGCTTCTAAAAATTAATTCAAAATGTCGTTTGGAAAAGCAAAAAGCAATAAAACGAAGTCAACTATTTTTTTAATAAAAAAAACAAAAAAAAAATTATTAAGATCACTTTACAGTTATTATCAATGTTAAAAAACATGTCAAAAATAAACTAATCACCTTTCTATATAGGGTTGAAAAATGTGACAGTCATTTACGATCGACATGAACTTTAACGAAAAAGAAAAAGTTCTGAAATTAATTAATGACGAAATAAACTACTTTTAATATTTTATTAAATCCGTAGAAACTTATTTAAAATTTATAAAAGAGAGATAAATGTTAACTAATCCACTAAAAGTATTTGTTTATTGACAAAAGTCATTAAAAGTTATATTAACATTTCTACCCTTTTGCGTGATAAAATTTACAAGTTACTGAATTTTTTGTTAATTGATAGAAATAGTTAAAAATTATATTAACATTTTAACATTTGTGTTTGGTAAAATATAGTCATCTTTATGAGTATAAAATATTTAATTAGATATTTTAAAATTAATTATTTAATAAAATTGTTATTGCTTAGAATATTTTTGAAATTAGAGTTTTCTATATAAAGACACTAACACTCAATTATTTTAATATTAATAAGTTTTATTATAAATAATTTTGTTAATGAATTATTTTAATAAGTATAATTTCTCTATGAACCATTTTTTTAGAGTTTTTTAACTTAATTCTCTAAGGATTTTTTTCCTATACTCATTTGCTTGAAGAACCAAGACATAATGATTAATCTTTGCGGTGAACTCTTAGATTTTGACTTATTAGTTTCTCAATTCGCGTAAATTGAATTTCAATTTTTTTTTCTTGATTTGTTTGTTCTTTCTTTGCATTTGGTTCGCATGTAGTATTTGACTTTTATGTACAAGTCTTTACTGATTATTGATTCTAATTGTATGTCCTGATCGTGTTTGTCTTTTTCTTATATATAGATAAGACATCTTGTGAGCTAGAATGTTTTTGGATTCCTTATAACAAATTCATTTGTCTCTTTGTTAGTGTGTATTAATAAGCCAAGACAGTTGTTATGTCATTGACATGTGTACATTGCTTCTTTATAAATTCTACACCTGTACCTACTTCTAATAATCAAAAAATACAATACACAAAATATTCATTTAGTTTTACTTCTCTCGGTTATACCTCTTTGCTTCTCTGCTTTTTGTTGTTCTATCAGACTTCCACTTTTGCTGTTCTATCACTCTTAAGTAATGGAAGCTAATTGCATTATTTTTAAAGTTATAAATACCTTGAAACTTTTAATTGTATGATTGTATGGTGAATTGACTAGATCATTGATATGTGTGATGAGTATAACCTATTGAATTGTGGTTAGACTCTTAAATTGTATGATTGAATTTTATAATGAAATTTATTAAATTGAATTTGTGGTTTGAATGTTTGATTCATGAATTTGTTGGTTTTGATTTGATTTGTTTGTTTAAGAGAGTTATAATCTGAGTAATTGGTCAAGTGGTACGAATTTTCATATTTAAATTTGCTTTGAACTAATTCACTACT